GGCATTAAGGACTTTGGACTCTTATTATCAACATATTTACATATTTGGTCAAACATCCTATACAAATGAAATAACTTTATTGTTTATCCTATAAGAAAAAAATTAACAAAAATGGCACCAGGTTTGTATTCTTCATTTATTTAATCTTTTTCAGAATTTAATTTGGTTGGCTCTTTTTCCAATCTTCTCTTTAACTATCATTTGCCATCATATTAACAATACAAAAATAAAAAAAAATAAAAAGGTGAGGGAGATGAAATTATAGGGCACAATTATATACCTAAAAAGCAGCAAAACGATCAGTATTTGAAAAAATGAGGTCATTATATGTTCTGAAGCAAAGTTGCTGAAGCAAAGTTCCTGAAACTTTGTTCACTTCAAACTTCGTGAAATAAATTTCAGAATATATAGCACCTTATCTAAATTCCCAAATGGCATTTCTCTCATTTCCCTACCTCCCAACGTAAAAGTATTTCATTGATACCAAGAAATCTTTTCTACAGACACAGACTGTGTCTGGATATCAAAGAACACATGTCCCTCTTGTGGCTTTCATTTTCCTGTATCACAGTTAGATTCTGTCCATCTATAACTGAGCCACCCCTCTACAAGCTAGGATTGATCTTTGTGCGCGTATTTTGTAGAAGTTCAAAGAGTTTGAGTTTAAGTAGCTTCTGTATATTTCAGGTCTTCCAGAAATCACTTTGAACACTTTGAAATCACTTCTACATTTTTAACTTTGATAGCCAAAGAGTGACTCCAAAGGAAACAACTGGAAAGTAGCTACTGAATGCTCTTAATAATTACATGAATTTAAACCAAAGGAAACAGCTTCATTCTCTAGCTATGGATCTATCCACTTTGTCACAGGATCTGCAATAAGAACACACTGTGTATATTTTTATAATAATTAACATCAAAACAGACAGTTTGTCACATTTAAAACAGATCACTATTGGCTGGAGGTGTGGGTTTCTGAAGCCTGAATACAGGACCTAGCAAATGCTAGGAAAATGTTCTTTCAGCTCCAGCTCTAATATTTTTTTTCAAAACTCAAAACTTTATAGAGAAGTAACAAGGTGATTATCTTAGGAAGTCAATATTTTGTAATTGTCACTTATAATTTTAGTTACTAATATCTAAAAGTTGGAATAGTTAGGTTCATATCTTTGGCTCCTTCAGGCTTTAATTTCATTGGCATTTACTACAACAATAGTAGACAGGTCTATTTTCTAGTTTCTTTAGTTAATGAAAAATGGTACACATTAAGAGTACCACATCCATTTTTAACTAGGCAGCTGTACTCCTTTAATCTTAACTGTCTCTGGACCCCTAATTGAATCACAAGAGAAACTCAACCAAAAGACCTGAGTCTCTCCCCCATACTCTACCTGTCCCTCACAGATGCTGTGTCAAACACTGATCATCCGACCATGTTTATATAACAGAATGGGATTACACTGTGAAATCATGCTTATATAGCTAATGTGCACTGACCACACAGATTTAAAATCAGTTGTCCATTAATAATGCAAAGTTCCATAAAAGTTTCCATTTTATAAATTACAGACAAATCTATTACATAGTTACTTAAAAAGTAAATAATTACTAGGTGTAAACTGTCACTAAACTATTACTTCTCCAGTGATTGGAAAAAAAGCTTTAATTTGAATTCATTAGATCTCACAGCAAAATATAATACTTTGCTATTGTATATCTACAACATATAAAGTAATTAAAATAGGATGTTATAATACAAGAATCCGTGTTTTATAATATCTGGAGCTGATGTTCTAAGAAAATCAATGTATTAATTTGTATTAGAAGAACTTTTTTTAAAATTTTGGTGATATTTTTTCTATTGCTACTGCTGGCTTAGATCCCACATGTGGAGACTGTACTTGTTGCTTTTAATATAAATCATAAATGAGGAGAAAAATTAACTTAATGGGGCTGGGTATGATACCCAAAGTCACCTGGAGGCTATTTCATTTATCAGCATGTGATATCATAACGTGAGTTCTGCTCAGCTGTTTGTTTTGAGAACTAGTTTTCTTTTGGGTGAATCTGTCTGCTATTGTGTGCAAAGTTGCTTCTCTAAATGTGGCAGGCTTATCAATCAAGCATGAGTAGGTGTAATTCACTAAGGGCAAGAATGAAATAAAAAAGCAGACTACATCCAAATAACTCACCAGTGCAATACCAGGGCTTAACCAATCTCGCATCATTAACTTGCAAAATGTTCTCTGTAATGCAGCTGAACATTCAAATCAGACACCATGAATCTTAAATAAAATAAATTTAACTGCAATTCAAAATCTATTCAATATGTTATATAAGCAAGTATAAAACTTGGTTTTCTACCATCTATTATAACTTTCAATTTTTCTATTCTACAGGTAAGAAAACTGGCATTCAGAGAGGTCAAATAACTTAGTTAAGACAAAGAAGCAAAAGGTAGGGCCTCCAAATTTCAGTGGAGTTTTCAATCTCTATTAAAGTACAGCTGAGGGCTAGTGCATACATACCTACTTTATGTTAAGTCTAACTTCAAATGATACCTTCTAAACTTAATCATACACTTGTTCTTAAAATAGTATCCTGATAATATAACATATTTTATATTATGTCTACATACACACATATTTGATGTACATGTATTTAGACTACATATAGGTATACATGAATAGCTTTAGGAAAAAGTCAGAATAAAGTACAATTCAATACATTTCTCATTAATACTCTTAGGGTACAAGTTATTTCCTTCATTTTCTTAGATCTTCAAAGAGCAGAACTAGTCTCTTTCAACAGCTTTGTCAAAAATCCAAGGGAGGGCAGGGGTATGGGGAAAAAATGAGAGCCCAGATGTGTCATGTAAAGGTATAAGATTCCAGTGATGAATGTAACTGTACTGTACACTTAAAAAGTACCAATAAACTCAATAAGAGTAGAAAATCCTCTCATTTATGTGCTATTTCCAAGACATATAAAATTTAAATGTGCAGATAAATCAAGCTTAACTCAGGTTACTAGGGTGGGCCCTAGAACAACATGCCCAATGTCCTTAATAGAGAAGTTTAAATGCAGAGAGATACACACAGAAAAAGAGGAGAAGACAAATACGGTTACAGGAGTACACCCCATGGAAATGGAAGATCTGCAAGATGTGCCCAAGATCCCAGGAAACCCAAGGATCTCCATGGTCAAGAAGGATTTCTCTACAAGCTGCAGTGGGAGTATAGTCCTCCTGATGCTTTGAATTTGGACCACTGGCCTACAAAACTGTTAGACAATAAATTCCGATTAGTTAAGGGTCCTGATTTATGGTATTTTGTTATAGCATCTCCAGGAGGCTGAAACACTTTCCAAATCAAACAAATTAGTGTAAACTGTTTGCATTTCTGAATTTCTTCCTTTTAGTTCTAAGTATTTTCTGTTCAAAACAGAGAATCGGAAGAAAATCATGTTGCTTGCATCCTACTTCATTCTAGTCTCTTTTTCATGTATCTTGGAAAACAACATCTCGTATGAGTCTTTCATTTTCCAGAAAGAAGTATACATGAAAGGCCAGTTTGATAATGATTCCTTGTTTGGTAGAAGTGTGTTAAGGACCATTATTAAATATTTAAACATGAAATTAGAGATGACTTGATACCAATTTGGCATCTCAGTCTTACTAGCTTGATGACACCACCATCCATCAATGAGTACAGAATCCAAATTATCCGCTTCCTTCATTGTCTTATTCCATTGGTCATTACAGACTCACTTGTGATGATTTCTCCAAAATGCTTCTGTAAATCATCTTTTCTCCAAACAGAGCTACTTCATTAATTCAAGACTTCACTGTGTTTTAATAAGGTCTTGCTTGATTAATAGTTCTGATAAAACTGAGAGTTCCATTTCATTCCAGTGATGCCAAATGCCACATGTATACTATTTACATTTCCACTAACAGTGCACAAAGATTCACTTATTTCTGCTTTTCTGAACCTCTAACCACTGCACTTCTGGCAACAGCTACAAAATGTGGCAACGGAGTGTGTCTTTACACATCTCTATGTGGGTATGATTGTGTGAATGCACTTACTATGGAAAATTCAATGATTCAACATTGCTTTTGGCTGCCTCGCAAACTGGTACTAGAAAGATGTTTATTTGTTACTCAAAAGGGGAGACTTCTGATGATGAAAGGGTAAGGAGGCACCAATAACACTGATGCTAGGACAAGGCATAAGCATCTGGGACTTTGCCTGGAAAATGAGGATATATAGGACTCTCAGACACACAGCAACAGCTGGTAGAGTAAAAAGTACAGAGTGAGATAAGATTTAAAGCACTGTATGAAGAAATGGTGAGGGATTATGCCAAATGTAATAGGACCCCATATTTGTAGCCCCTATTAAGCATCCTTATGAAAACTTTCACATATTTCTCCTTGACCGACTGGGTACATCAACACACTCTACCACTTCCCACTCACTTCATCTTATCATACAAACTTGTTCCGACAGCAGAGAAATGGTTTTGTAAGTAGTCACCTCTAAGATAAATGGCATGTGGACCCACTCTGGGGCTATGATTTAAAAAGACAGGTAAAAACCAAGCGTCCTCTCTGTCTGCTACCAGGAATCCAACTCAGGCGCAATGCCACTGAACTAAATCCTCAGCCCTCTCTCTCTCATTTCTAATTCAAACAATAGCCCTAGTGCTTATTAACTACTACTCATCACGAATACTCACAGAGGGAGCTGATACAGTCTTTGTGCATGTTTATTGCTATTCCCTTTTGACCTCACATTGACAGGGTATGGCCAAGAAATCCAGAAACAAACATATTGAAGTCGCTTTTGGACTACTAGAGATCAGTAGGCACTTTGGTTATTATTTTATCTTCATCCTTATGCAGCTTCTAAACTTTTGAATTCTGTCAATAGCCAAGCTTTTTAAAGTGTGCACTGTGAGATAATTTTCCATTTATAAAAAATCATACATAATACCTTTCAAGTGAGGGCTATGCACATGCATTCTTTGCAGATGTAGATTTATTGGAACAAATTCTAATGTTTTATCTCCTTTGCTGCTGCTTGATTTGAAAGAAGACCCTAGGAGGAAAAAGTGAAACATTACTGGTAAATAAATACATTTTCACCAGTGTATAAGTTGACACATACATGTGACAAAAATATTAAAAGATCTTCAGAAAGAAAAACACATCTTGTATTTATGGGTTTTCTCAAATTCAATTATTAAAATATTTTAATTATTCTTATAATAATACTATAAGGTAGAAGAACAAAATTTCTATTTCCTTAGTCTGGATTTCTGAATAGTAAAGTTAGGGATAATTTTTAAAGAAAGCTTTGACTTTTTTATCTCCATAAAAACAATTTTTGTTATTGTTTTCTAAGATATACGTGAAATGCAGTTCAGTTTGAAAGTTGGTTTCGCACCTGTCTCCTTGCTAAGTTCTGTCAGAATCTCTTGGTACATATTCACCATCTGGTCACAGTGAATCAGGACATTTTTCCTTAGATTGTCCCAGTGTGGAGAAAGTTCGCCAAGCTCTTTTATCTCCTGGTTTCTATTAAGAATACAAAAGAGGAGAAACCAATGTGATCTTACATCTGTAGACACAGAACTTTCAATCAGAGCTGTACAGCTAATAAGAAATTGTTTCAATATCCTTTTCAGAAAAGTTAAGAGTCTGCTAGCTTAAAATTAAACACAAGAGAAAACATATGTACTTTAGATTACACAAATATTAAAAAACATTACAACAAAGGCACAAAAAAGTTTAAATTCCTTGATGAAATTTTCAGAGACGGTGAATTTACTATCCTTAATATATAAAGAAATCTCTATTAAAAGCAAATACTAAAGCATCAAAGTAAAAATAACTAAATTCCAGCCTTTGATGATCTAAGACCAAAACAATATAAGAAAGGCTAGTCTGAAAAAACATGACATACTCAGGTGACCTAATATATATGTAATATTGCTGTAACATTTTTCATTTCAAATAATAAATGTTATTGTGAGATATGGTTTCCTTGGCACCAGTTTTCCCAAAAGAATAGTCTAAAGACTGTATGCATATTTATTGTCCCCTTTTCATCAAAAGGAAGAGATAATCATGCCCTTTGGGTTTTAATTATTAACTTTCATCTAAATATCTACCCTTTAGCCAAGTTCATTTAAATCATTAGAATACCTTTCTAAAATTATAGTGATAAATGGTGTAATATGCTGCTCAGATAGATCTCTTACTCATTTCTGTAACCTTTCACCAACAACATTTTCATGAGGCTAATTTAGCCAGCAGTGATGAACCTTCTTTGCTATTTTGGCCATGGAACACTCTAAATACCAACCTAATAAATTCAGAAGATGTAGAATCTTTACCATCCTGTTAAATGCAAGAATAATGGGTGATGTGTAAAAATGTGACTTGCTTTCAAATGTTTGTACCTGTCTTTGTTTTGTTTCAAGAGGACGGCAATTCAGTATTGCAGTCTTTCATCTGAGCTCTACGTAATCTTTGTGAGCATTAATAACATGTGCAACTTCTTTAAAGAGTAGCTTTCACAACATGATCGGTGGATGATGAGTGTGAAGGGAGTTTGTGACCAAAGGACAAATACAGAAGTCTGAAAAAATGGACAGTGGAGGTTCACTTCAGCCAGATGGAAGAATATTTAAATTGGAGACCAAAAAATTACAGTCACAATAAATGATTTCATAAGCTTGACATATCCAAGACTAGAAGAACCAGGGCAATTAGGCCATTTTTAAATACATAGCAAGTGATATGTTTCAATTTCATAGGTAAGATTTTAGGCTTTGCTTTCACCAGTAATATTAGCAGAATATTCCTGTTTAATATTAATAGACATACCATGGGTTGATAGTTCAAATTTTATCTAAATCCTTATTAGAAAGAATGGTTAAAAAGGGAATGTAAGGAAGGGAGGAGAGGTAATATTGAAGCCCCGGCCTCACTATCAAATATGTACAAACTGGTACACATCGCATCTCTGCCTAAGAGAAATTGTGGTCAGAAAAGTTCAGTGTTCTGTGAGGAGTGACTTAAGGAGGCTGTAGGCTGCTATTCACAATTTATGGTATTCTGCTAATGTGCCACAATTTATAATATAAATAACAGATGAACCTGTTTGTGCTAAAGATGGCACCAGCATCCTGAAAAGATCCAAACCACCTCTATGACATCATCACACATAGGACAGTTCAAGTACAGGGGTACTGTAGAAGGAGAGTAGTGAAACAAAATGGAGAAGGGTAAGAGTTGCCCTAAATTTTTTAAAAATAAGGAAAAGATTGTAATATATTAAAATAGATACACAGTTTACAAAATGAGTAAACTTTTTTAATCAGGAAGCCGAGGGATATTCATTTTTTTTTGCCATATTTTATGTCTGTAAGCAAAAATCACTGAGTTAAAAATCTTTATCTAAGCCTAGTTTTTCTCACAATCTCAGGCCAACAACATGGAAGTAAAAATAAAAGGAGAATTTACACAGGGAAATCACTTGTTTAGCAACACAAAATAAACCCAGAGAAATGATATAGAACCTCTGAAACTTGGAATAGTCTGGTAGGTGAAGAAAGAGATATCCATGAGCCAGCTCCTTGCCTTATTCTATATTTCACTGATAGGTATTCATTCTGTAGCATATTAACTTGCTGTATTTCCAGTTTTGTAAACTACTCACTTTGGGTAGCCACTGGGAAAGCAACTGCCCAGTGATAACAGAACTTTGCTGCCTCTCCTTGGGTAAGAGTTGGTGGCCAGAAATACTGGGATCCTACTATGGCAGGCACCATTGAGGATGTGCAGCCAGGCCTTCACCGTAAGAGTGGCTGATGTGAGGAGACAGGGTGCCCATGGAGGTAATAGGTGGGTCTCAGCATGGAGCTAATGGCAAAAAACATACCATGTTTGGTTTGAGCCAGCATAGAAAAGCAAAAAAAGTGGGCCCAGGACTGTCAACTCTTTGAACAACACAGATGTATTTGTGTCATTTTCTAATAATTCAGTAGCTCATTGAACAATATCTCTCATATACGTATTCCTAAGAGGGGCACTGAAGAACAATACTTCAAACTGGTGGGCAGCTTAGGAAAACAGCAGAGCAGTGAGGACCAGCAACTCAGATTTTTCAGGAAAACTCCCTATATTTTAGGGAGTTATCAGAGTGAGAAAAGGTTATTCTGGAACAATGAGGGAACTGAAAAAAGAAGAAAAAAGTTTAAATGAAACAGAAGAAATGAAGAGAGAGGAGACACCTTGCAAATCACACTGAGAGAGCAGCTGGCCAGCCACCATCCGGGAGACACAGTGAAACTCAAAACTTTTACCTATAGAGAGCCAGAGAACGGCATCAGGATTAAATAAGCAGCACTTGGAACCGGCAAAGAAAACACAGAATACTGCTTTGTACAGCGGAGAGCTGGTGAGTGACTCTGGTACAGCGCCCACCACCACAATAGAAGCAGGAGAGCTGGCAGAGATGCCATTCTAGGGAAGTCTCGGTGTGTGAACCTGTCCCAGAGCAGCCACTTGCCATATTCTGTTTTTCACACTGTCAAGCTCCCAGAGTGGTTGAGGGAAGAACAGCCCCAGGACACAGCTGGCAGCTGGAGTGTAGCCTAACACCTTAAACAGAGGCATGTCTTGCTTGAGCTCTCTTCCTCCTTCATATACTGTGGGAAGGAGCCATGCAGCAAAATGAGTTTGTTACTTAGAAATTCTGTTCATTTTCCTCCCATTTTTATTCTATTATTTTCTCATTATTTTTATTGTATGAGTACAGTGTTTATGTCAGCTCCTCTTCCTCTGCCTTCTTCCAATACTGTTTATAGAGGGTAGGGAATTCTCCCTGGTTCCATTTCATGCCTTCTACTTTTATCCATATCTTTTTCCTAACTTCTTTCTCTTGTTTCTTTCTCTATTTGCCCTTTCTTTTTTCTCCTTTGTTGTTTTCCTTTAACTCTTGCTCTAATATAGATGTTAGTCATATGATCTTTTATCATCTCCATCTCTCACTACCAATTTTGTGCTGTTTATCTTATCCCCATCTAAATATATAACATACGTCTACCACCATTAGTATTCTTTGTTCCCTTCCTACTTCCTCTTTCCCGTACCACACAGAAGAAGTCTTTAAAAACTGATTTTTTTCCTTTCTTTCCCTACCTCTAAATCTATGTCCCTGGTCTTTAGCTAATGGTTTCTATAAAATTATTGTTGGATGCTTTTCTTCACCAGTAGACAGAGCTATCGCATTTAGTGTATATTATCTTTGGATCAATACTTGAGAGGTTATGGTCCTTACACTATTACCATGGATTTCTTTTCTAAGATAAAGAGAGATCCAAATAGGCCTCATGGTATATTATTTCTCAGTTTTCCCTGAATGATACGACTGTAACTGATTAGCTTGTTATGATGATAGCTGATTTGATTAAATAAGAATACTCCTGACTCAATAGACAATTTCATGCCAGTGAATATGTCTACTGATACCACCATCACACCCAGGAAGTGGGAGAGGAAGAGTTTGTAACCTCAGAATTCAGACCTGATCAAAATCTGCAAGAATGCCTGCAATCTGGCGGACAGAAATCCTGAATCTGAGCTAGCTTCAGTGTTGTAAGGAAGAGTTAGAGGAGTTACTGGGGAGTGAGCATTTAGACTCTCCAGTGAAGAAGTTACTTGAGAATCACATATGCAATATCTCATTGGAATATTTGGTGTGTTCCCATTAGATATCTCATAGGTTTGAGGTTTTTGTGTGTTTTTAGAATGATGTAGTGATGTGGAATTTTGTTATATTCTTTTATGGTTTTTATATTTTTTACTTTTGTATATTTTTTCTTTCATTGGCTCTCATAGGTGTCTAGTTTCTTTCCCCTAGATAGCTCCCTATCTAGTTTCTTCACCTCAAATCCTCAAAGCAGTATATTAATGAACTTCTTATTCAAACACATAAGTTCTCCCACCTGGCTTTTTAATTTCCTGTACTTAGCTTCCTCACAGTCATTCTTATTTTTCCTAGATTAATATTCCCTCCTGCCTATGTTAAGCCTTTGTTTCTTCCATATCTTACCTAGCCTATTATCTTCATTTTCACCAGCTTCTGACAACCATGGAGCTTTTGTCAATCACAAAGTAAGCCTCCTTCTACCCATACCTCACCTGTTTCCACACACATATCCTCTGCAGACTCTCACTACTAACCATTCAACTTAGCTGAAAGTACTCCAAGATAATCAGACACACATCAAACTTTTCTTCTCATTTATCACCATCCTTTTTCCAAGCCTTCCCCACAGTGTCTAACAGTCCTCATCCTCATCCAACCACCTCCCATTCTCCTCCCTCCAATTTACCTACCTCAATGAAGCACAACCAGAAATAATAAACAGTCATAGGGTGCACAGAGGACAGACAAGGAGGGGAGTAATGCCCAGGACTATCATCTAGAAGAAGTACATGGTTGAATTGGGTGATGCTGTTATAACCAGAAGTAATTCATCCAGTAAAATATGGGGATAGAGTTC